TTGGAAGATGACCACCAATTTATCCATTATTCCTAGGGCCACTTCCTTAAGTACTCGGGCCCTGGTAATTTATCAGCCTTCAATCAAACATTCCCCATTACTGCTTCCCAATTAGTACTGATTTCCTTCAGTTTCTCCCTCTTCCTGTGTTCCACAATATTTCTGATATGTTATTTGCGTCCTCCTTTGCGAACATATTTAATTCACCAGCCATTTCTTTGTTTCCTATTTTATATTCCCCTGTTTCTGACTGTAAGGGACCTACATTTGTCTTTACCAACCTTTTTCTCTTCGCACGACTATACAAAACTTTTACAGTCAATTTTGATATTCCCCACGAGCTTACTCTCATACTCTCCTTTCCATTTAGAGATCATAAAGTCCTAGGGTCCCTACAGTGTGGAAACAGGTCCTTCGGCCCAACAAGTCCACACCGACCCTCAGAGCATCCCACTCAGACCCATCCCCTATAACCCACCTAATCTACACATTCCTGAACAATACGGGCAATTTAGCATGGCCAATCCACCTAGCTGGACTTAATCTATCCCTTTTTCTTCCCTTGATGATCTCTAAACTGCTCAGGTTTTTGTTTGTTTTTTTTTCGAGTCAATTTGTATGCCTTGTCTATGGATCTAATGCTGTCTTTGATTTTCCTTGTAAGCCATAGTTTGGCCACCTTTCCCATTTTACTTTTGGGCGAGGCAGGAATAAACAAGTGTTGAAGTTCACCTATATGCTCCTTGAATGTTTTCCATTGCTTTCCTACTCTCATCCCTTTAAGCAATAGTCCCCAATCCATCATAGCCAACTCACGCAGTGTCATCATAGTTCCCTCTGTTTAGATTCGGAGCACTAGTGTCAAAATCAACCACATCACTCTCAACCTTGATGAAGAATTCTATTATGTTGTGGATGTTTGTCCCCAAGGAGTCTTGCACAATTTGCCAATTATTTTTTTCTCGTTCCACACGACCCAGTCTAGAATGGCCTGTTCTCTGGAAAGTTCTGTGGAAGGGTCACTCGACCCAAAATGGCAACTCTGATTTCTCTCCACAGATGCTGCCAGACCTGCTGAGCTTTTCCAGCAATTTCTGGTTTTGGCCTGTTCTCTAGTTGGTTGCACTTGCATTCAACTGTCAGAGAACTCTTAAGATATATTACGAAGAATAAAAAGGCAGCAAAAGCATTAAATGGAAATTATATTAAAGTTAAACCAATAGCAAACTATTAGAAAACAGTGTTCTGGTGCAAAGAACACAGGCCTGAAATGTTTCTTTGTCGACAGAATACTACTACTGAATATTTTCAGCATTTCCAGCTTTATTTAAGATTTCCAGTATTCACCGTATTTTATTTTGGTGTTTTGATGTTGTTGTTATTACAAATTTATTTTAACTGGGGCCTTATGAACCAGCAGTCTTGGTAAATCGGCAAAAATTATATACCTCAAATACTGCAAAGTTTACTGTATTATTCTGTCCAATTATTATAGTTTTTTAGAATTTATTTACCTCAATGTAAATATACCTGCTCAATTAAACGGGCACACCAGAGATCAACAATTGATTCAATTTTGAGTCAGTTTCTCCTCAAATACCACGATCTATCGTGCTGTTAGAGTAGTTAGTTGTGGGTGCGAGTGAGAAGGCTCTCTGCTGGTAAGTTGTATTTATGGTAAAGTTGTATTATTATTTAAGTGATTTATACTGTAAGTAAAGTATAACTGTGATGTGTATACACCCCCCCCCCTCTGCATTACATCTCTATTACTTAGTGTGTGGTTTTACATTCATTATGTACACCTTTTGATTACTGGAAAATTTGATCACCTGGCACACTTCTGGGCCCACCAGTGCCAGATAATAAAATGTTGACAGAATCCTTGGATTGTATTTCCATTCATCTTTTCAATCACGCTCACCACTTGTGATGAAGGGGAACAAAACTAAAACATTAATTGAAAGAAAAACAGAAATTGCTGGAGAAACTCAGCAGGTCTGGCAGCATCTATGAAGAGAAAGCAGGGTTAATATTACAAGTCAAGTGAACCTTCTTCAGAACCAATACTAGCTAGGAAAAGGCAGGATATGTGCTGAAGTCAAGGGATGGCAGAGGGCAAAGGAGTGAGCAGATAGATAGAGATGGAGCCCAGAGAGAGAGAACAATAGTTAGGCAATGAGATAAATGATAAAATTCAGGAAAGCTGATAACAAGGATAATAAATAGGTGAAAACGTGTTGGCTGTACTGAAAGCAACCCATGTCATGACAGGGCCTGGTGTGTGGGGTTGGGTAAGGGACATAGATGAAGGTGTTCAGGTTCTAAAGTTACTGAAGTCAATACTGAGTTTCAGATTTCCAGCACCCACAGTTTTTTTTTGAAATATTAACTGTGTCTGTTTACACCGATGCTGTGAGGTATGTCCAGCGTTTCCTGATTTTATTGAAGAAGGAATTCATGTAGAGTTAATGGCACTGGAAACATTATTATCAACAACAGGATAAACACGTAAATTGAATTGGCACTGATGATAAATCATTGAACACAGTACTTCAAACCAAATGTGTGCTGCACTCAGAAAAGGAAGAGAATAAAGCAAATCCTGGAGAAAAGGAAATGGAGTAAAAGAGGTCTGGCAGTGAGAAAAATTCAGCAGGAATCACTGAAGAATCTTATTCACAGCTAAAGTGTTGTCCATTTAAGACAGAGATAATGAGGTATTTCTTCTCTGGGAGGGTAGCAAATTTGTGGAGTTGTTTACCAATCTATCGAAGCTGGGTCATTAATATTCAAGGTTGAGGTAGACAGATTTTTCATTAGAAAGGGGATTAGAGGTAATAGGGAAAAAACAAGAAAGTGGAGTTGAGCATTATCAGATCAGCCACAATCTCACTGAATGGGTGGATCAGCCTCAGTGAGCCGATGGGCTTATTTCTACCCCTATATCTTATGGTCTTACAGTCCAAATTACTTCAGGATTTACACAAGACATCAGGAGTGGATATTGTACACATCCCTTTGTTTACTTTTAAGAATTACACGATTAGGTTTATTTTAAGAGCTATTGTAAACTATATTCCTGACTATGAGCAGGGTAGGAAAAGACATCTAGAACAAGAAAAAGATGTTCCAACTTCAATCATTTTCAATTGAAAAACAGCTAAAGAGGCTGATATTTTCCTTCTGCAGCACTATCAATACTGATTAATGATCTAACCTTGCCAGATTGACACATTTGCCAAATTATGTACACTAATGGGCCATTATTTGTGATAGGTGCAAATCTAACAAGCACTCAACGTGAGTTAGACATGCTATCACATGCTTAAGCTTTAATATTCTTTCCATAACAAGTTGCTGATAGTGTGACCTGATAACATTACAGTGAACAAAAAAAAGCTATCTGGGACTGAGTGATAGTGACAAATCTGCAGCAATCAGATTGGTCGATCGTGAACCTAATAGAATGAAGCCTCAGAAGGAAGAGTAAATTATAATTGGTTCACTCATTATTTAATTAAGGACAAGAAAAGCAAGGTAAGTAAGCAAGCAGAGAACAATTGGATTAAGAGAAAGAAAAGAGACAAAAAACTCTGTACTTACTTTCTGTTAACTTTCAGATTACATTTTCTAAAATAACCAACAGCAGTGAAAACCTCTCAGAATGAGGTTGCACCTTTGATTAGCTTTCAGTACCAGAAAGATTATTTGGCAGTGATTGTTGTGTTACTGCTTTAAGAGCCAAATATGATAGTGAGCCAAAGACCAGGATGACACCACATAGCCAACAGCCAGAAATTTCCATGCTGCTGCATGTTAAACGAAAGGTGTGTACAAAGATTGCTATAACAGCAAGTTACCAGTTTGTCTGTTAAATAAACATGTTTGAGATTTTCAAGAAAACAAACTATTTGCTACTAGTATGACTGTGGTAATTCTGTGTTTGAGAACACAACAGAAGAATACACAATAATAAAAAATTGTCGCATTGTTAAATAAGAAACTTGATTGTCTATTTCAATGTTTAACTTCCTGTCCTGAGTTGAGTTCATATCTGCCATGGAATTGCAAGTCAGTGCATTTGATAATGAGTAAAACAGCATTATGAAATTTTGTGAACTTGCATCTTAGGAAGCAAATTATGAATTTCCACATTGAAACAGGCATCTATTGACACCGGAAATAAACACAAGATTAACCTCTCATATTTCTCAACAATTATGACCCATCATCAAATATGATGGTTAAGTGAAAACACTACTTTTTAATTACAAGTCAGAAATAATTTGCAGAAGGTTGTGGTACCAAAGAACTACAAAGTACTGACAGGAAGTGAGAACTCAGTGAGACACTCTTGCTCTTATATAATCAAAGGCTCTAGATAAGAACCCATTGACTAGAATATCACTAATGTAAATACCCGCAGCACAGTCCTCTCAGAAAATTTCACAAACAGGAATTAATAGATCACTGTAAGTATTTATCATTTAAATTGATTAGGAGTGTTCACATACCACATCACATTTTATTCAATCTGTGTTACTATATAACACAGAAACACTTACTTAATAACAAAAAAACACAACACTTGAGGATACATTTACATGTCAGTCACTCATTTGTGTGAACTGTTTCCTGACTTGAAGCCTAAATTTTGCTTTCAGTTAAAAGTATGCACCTCTTTACTGTCAGAGCACTTTTGAGGTATGGATTGGCTAGCATTGTGTAAAGTTTAGGCATGATTTCCTCTGATGGGACTGTAACATTTTGATTATAAAGTTAAACTTATTTTTAATTGTTGTATATCCATGATGGAAGTGCTAAGCACAGAGCATACAGATCCTTTAGAATTCTTTTTAGGCCTTGACTCAGTTTGATTTTGACACTATTCATAAACTTTATATAATTTTCTTCTACATTCTGCACTTTGCTTTCATCATTTCTTACCCTGCCCCTTAATTATGTTATCTAATTTCTTGATGTTGCTTTTATCTCAGGTTCAAGTTCTAAACCAACTTCCTACAGCAGATTGTATTATCTACAAACACTAATCTTCATTGATCTTCTACATCTAAGTTATTCATGAACATTAGATTCTGTGGTGCTTCCAATCTGATTGACAGATGACTCAGCACTCCCTCATTACCAAGCGCCTGCTGTTTGCTTCAGCTAGATGTTCATCCATTCCAGGATCTAACTTTGACTTCATCACCACTACTCAATACATCACCTGTATTGAGGGGAGATGATGGCCTAGTGGTATTATCGTTGGACTGTTAATCCAGAGACTCAGATAACGTCCTGGGGACCCATGTTTGAATCCCACCATAGCGGATGGCGGAATTTGAATTCAATATCTGGAATTAAGAATCTAGTGATGACCGTGAATCCATTGCTGATTTCAGGAAAAACCCATCTGGTTCACTAATGCCCTTTAGGGAAGGAAACTGCAATCCGTCACCTGGTCTGGCCTACATGACTCCAGACCCACAGCAATGTGGTTGACTCTTTACTGCCGTCTGGGCAATTAGGGATGGCCTAGCCAGTGACGCTCTCATCCCGTGAATGAATTTTAAAAAAACTGTCAAGTGGCTCATTGTCAATACCCTTTGGAAGTCTTACTGCAAGGCTTTCCACAATCTATTAGCAATTTTATTTCACATTAAAATAGCTAGTTACATTGTGTCATGTCTACAACTGTGTCATTTCCCAAATATATGGTGATTCTGAAAGTGTTCAACCTTATCTTCCAGCCTCCTGATGCCCTATCTCTGAATGTTACTGATTGTAGAATGTGTATACGCATTGCCGGTAATATAACACAAACTGCTGTTCGTTGTAAAACATCGATGTCAACTTAAAATGTAATAAAATTGGTGCTTCCTATACAACCTCACCTAACCTTCAGCTAGCTAATTTCGTGAATGTTTGAGTCATACTGTCCAAGGAGGTCCATATTGAAGCAATATTATACTGATCAACAATAGTTATCCTATAATTGGTCCCAACCTAGATTGGGAGGGGAAAATTCATGTTGTTTCTTGTGGCTGATGGCTATTAAGTGATCCCTAGTCAGATGAAATCAGATGAAGGCCAGGATCTAACTCATCTATCCTCCCCTTCTGCCTCTTCCATATTCAACAGATTCATTCTTAAGATTCATATGTAAATAATAGAAGGCCATCCAGTGTTTATGAAATCAGTTCATTGATGTTTGGAGAGAAAGTCAGTTCAGCCAAGTAGCCAGAAAGATCCCTGGCATTTTAAAAACAAAGCCGCAAGATACTAGTGATTAATCATCGAAATATCACCTGGGCATGTCATGAACTCCCAAAAATTCTCAATTTCTAGAATCAGTATTTATTCATAGAACCTGTAGTGTTACAGGGATCCCCAATTGTACTGCATGTCTTGACAGGGCAGGGTGGAGCCTTCCTGTTTTGTAACCTACAAATAAATTTTAATCATCATGAAACATCAGGGTATTCTTCTTATATCCATGCCAGACATGCAAATTCATGACCAAAACTCACAGGTCATTTTGCTTACAAGGGAATAATACAGAATTATTATTATGCTGGTACTGCATTTTAATAATCTTTTGCATAATATCATGATGGGAGTGGCTCTGCATCAGAGTTGCTTGATCTGTAATTCCGATTCACACTGATCTTATGGATAGCATTTTCACTGGATTCTAATTTTTTGATTAACCTCTTGTTTATGAGTGGAAATACAGGTAATTTATTAAACTCAGGGATTTATTGACTTGTAAATCTCTCTAGCTGTGAGAGAGCTTTCCCTTTATTTGTATCACCTTTGACAAACTCTTAAACCTGAACAATCTGTTGGCCCGATAAACATTTCTGAAGCATAGATGGGAGTTGTGCGTGGGAAGCTGTGGTATCCCTATCCTAGCAGACTCTGCAGGTATTGCCTGGATAATTGAAGATACTGTGAGGCAATCCCTCTACAACCAAAACCCTCTGAAACTGTCCATTTAAATCAGAAACTGTGAAGGGTTCTGCTGAAGTGAATTGTTGCTCAGGAAAGGTAAGATAGAACATAGAATAATACAGCACAGCAACAGGCTGTTGAGCCCATGATGTTATGCCGAATATGACGCCAAATGAAACTAATCCCTTCTGCCTGCCCTTGGCCCATATCCCTCCATTCCTTTCATATTCGTATGCTTATCTAAAAGCCTTTTAAAAGGCCTTTTCGTAATGGCTCCACCACCACCCCGACAGTGCATTCCAGACTCCTACCACTCACTGTGTAAAAAAAAACTTGCCCCTCACATCTCCTTTCAACTTTCTCCCTCTCATCTTAAATGCATGGCCCCTAGTTTTAGATTTTGACTCTGGGAAAAAGGTTCTGACCATCAACCCCATCATTGCATCTCATAATTTTATAGACTTCTTATCAAGTCTCCCCTCTGCCTCCACTGCTCAGGAGAAAACAACCCAAGTTTTTCTCGCCTCTCCTTATAGCTCATACCCTGTAATCCAGGCAGCATCCTGCTAGACCTCTTCTGCATCCTGTCCAAAGCCTACACGTCCTTCCTGTAATGTGGTGACCAGAATTGAACGCAATACTCTAAATGTGGCCTAACCAAAGTCTTATGAAGCTACAACATGACATCCTGACCCTTGTACTCAAGTCCCCGACCAATAAAGGCAAGCATGCCATATGCCTTCTTTACCACCCTATTGTTGTCTGGTTCCTCCTTAAACAAGTTGCAGGCAACTCTGACTAGAATGTTATGAATGAATTTGCCCAGGTGTCCCACAATACCAAAGTGGTCAAATCAATACGAACATAAGCCGGTACCAAATCAAAACATTCCCACTTTATTTGGAACAAAATTACAATAATTTTAAAAACTAAAGATCGTATCCCTAATCTTATTTGGCTGCTTATGGTTACAGTATTTCTTGAGTCTCTTGTAAATTTACACGGTCGCTCTCTCTATGGTTCTGGGTCTGCGAAGCTGCTTTCTCTCTCTCTATCTCTGGATGGTCAGCAGGTCTCATGCCTCTTGCCACGCTGGTCTCCTCAGAAGGCGTCAGATAGTTCCAAGAGAGTGGTCTGCTGGTGAACTTTGTTTTTATACCTTTTAGATGGATCATCTGGAACTTTCTGAAGTTCTGACCAATCAGGGAGATACATTTAATCGTTTGAAACAAGAGTCAATCATTTAGATGGCATGCTACTGTTAGGTTTCTTTGTGTAGCAAGACCCAGTGCCTTTCTGTCTGGGCTGCCCTATATTTAGTGGATAACTTCATAGAAACCCTACAATGTGGAAACAGGCCCTTTGGCCCAACAAGTCCACACCGACCCTCAGAGCATCCCACCTAGACCCATCTCCCTATAACCCACCTAATCTACACATCCCTAAACACTACGGGCAATTTAGCATGGCTAATCCACCTAGCCTGCAAATCTTTGGACTGTGGGAGGAAACCCACGCAGATGCGGGGAGAATGTGCAAACTCCACAGACAGTCACCCAAGGGTGGAATCGAACCTGGGTCCCTGGTGCTGTGAGGCAGCAGTGCTAACCACTGAGCCAGTTGTTGGGGATGCTTGTGCAGACTAACTGTTGTCTTTTACATTATGCTAATGTTATTAGCACCTGGCTGCCAAGTTTGCACTGTATCTGGTGTGTGGGCTTTGTGATTTCAGAGTTTCACTTTGGCCAATGTACTCATCATCCCTTGCTGCTTGGCCAGCTTGGCCAACTTGACAATCTGTGTTTTAGCAGACAGGAGGCTGCTACATTTCCACCTTTTGAATGGAAAAAAGTTTATGCAAATGAAGCTCAAACCTATTTACAAAAGTTGGTTATGTTTGTTGTCAGAGGAGCCTAATGTTCATGTGGAAACCATTAAATACATTGGTCAAGCTTATCATATTATTACATGTACAAGAAAAAAAGAAAACTCCTGTCGCAACAATCCATACAGGTTTGTAGTTCGTAGACAACATTAAGTAATCAGAACGAATAGAAATGACAATAGTTCCATCTACCTTAAAGCCCTAGTGTGCGTATACGGTATTATTCATAGTAAGCATGCTGATCTCTTGGGATATCTGTCTTTTCCAGCATGCAGTCTTAACTGGCAGTATCCTGAGGTATATCAAGGTGATTGCAATTAGGACTGCAACTAGATATGAGGGGAGCCGAATTCAAGGATGACAGGCTAGGGACACAATGATATGGCCTGTTCATTCACATTTACTTAAAAGTGGTACCATCAACGTCCCCTGTCTTTCCACCACATATTGGAGCGTGTCATGGTAACCCATCCAAATACCTTTTCTTCATTTTTGACTTCATAGGTCCTCACCCCAACTTTGTCATAAGGGTTAATTAGAATCCATAGCACCAAGCCCAGCACCTCACCGAGAGTGTTCTTGTAGTTATCATTATACAACACATTAGTGAGCTATCGCAACTGACAGCTAGAGATGTTAGTGTAGGTTCTCTCCTGGAACAAGTGTTCGAGCTGTTCATAAAGTCAGAGTCAGATGGCACACATTACTGATCCAGGATGGGACTTTGCCTTGGCCAGCCTGCCTGATGCCCTCCCTCAGCTGTTCAGTCATCCATTTTCTGTAATGCTGCACAGGGCGCGGTTCTGCTGCTCACCATCGTCTCTAATTTTGCCCTGGATGATCTGGTTTATCATCTTGGTGTGACCCTCTAGTATGGTCCCTAAGCAGTGGCTAGCCTGATTCTCCGTCGTTATCCCGTGGTCTCTTGTTGATTGTATTTAGTCCTTCTAGGGCTCGTTTGACTCGTTGGGTCAAGATCCTGAGTTTATTTTCCAAATTGGCCAAATCAAGGGTATTGACCATTTGACATGCCTGCCCCATATGCTGTGGCCAGATCATTAAAGAGTTCCTTTTTCTTTCATGTATTAACTGCTAGGAGGTCCCATCTATACATGCCGCGACATGTAGTGGATTATACCACAGATGTCCTGGGTATATTATTTTCCCTTGTGCCTTGCTACACTTTTGGATACAGTCATTACAATAATACATAATACACAACATACACTCTGTAAGGGCTGCATCCCTGTCTTGGAGTAACCGCTCCGGTGCACTTTCTAAAAATAAAATGAGTAGTTTCTGTAAATATCTTGGTCTGATATCTGACAACATACTCTATAACATTCTAAAATTATCAAATCGTTCCAATTGTCACCCATTCCTGGACCCACTTTTCTTTAAATAAAAACAAAAAGGACAATAGAACAAATATGCCCCATCTTTGGATGTCAGCTTGTGTGCTCCTGGCTGGGGACCTTAAAGCTATTGCCATTATGGGGTTGCCCCTGTCACCCCCATCGTATATGTCACAGACTGTTTTTGTTCCATCTGTTGCTGCCAGGATGGTACCCTGGATGTTGGCCCCTTTTTCCAAACTTCCCAGTGCCAGGTGGGAATTTTAGGTGCCTGACAGTCCCGATTGAAATGGCCACTTTGGCCACAGTCATAGCGCAGATCAAGTTTGGGGTTCATTTGTGGGAGTTCCCCTCTTTTGGAGGTGGGGGACTTGTAAGGAGGGGGGAGTCTGTCTGGAACTCTTTGGTGTATTCCTGCCCCTTCATTCCTCCAAGTCGGAGAGGGTGCTATAAGAAGTCTGGACTGCACTTATCCGGACTGACCTTCTGGATGGTTGTTGTGTCCACCAGTCCCTCTCCCATACAGAAATTAATTTGTGGAGGACCCAAGCCTCATTAGTGTCGAATCCCAGTCACATCCCTCCCCCTTTCTGAGGCATGGGAGACAAGGGTGCAGCCCCAGTTCTTCGGTTGTGCATTGGTAAGAGAGGTTCAGGTCATGTTCTTGAAAACATGGACAAATTGGACCCAGAGTCTCCGGGCAA